TCCAGTGACACAATCCATCATCAGCCCAGCACAGAACCATCTGGAAGATTCCTACAGTTTCTCCAGGGTTTAATTCAGTGGGCAGAGTATTCTTTCAGTAATAGGTGCCAGCAGGTCTGAATGTTGCTTAGCACTGGAGTTTCTTGGCCTGGGGAGCTAATGTCTCTTTGTGCGACAGCCTGTATGTGTCCTCTGTCCATTGAATGTCACATCGGACTTGTATCACATGCACAGAAGAGGCCGCTGGTTGGACAAAGAGAAACAATCAAGGATTGTTTTCTCCCATCATCACATAGCATTCGCTTCTCCCTTAGAAGTCTCATTTTTTAAATGGAGTCATTTAAACTCCAGTTTTCAGAATGTGATAGCCTGCAGATTAGCCGTTCCAAAATCATCACCCACTGTTCTTTTTCCGGTGTCTGAACAGTACATTTGACTTTTTAAATGATGTAGTTATTGATGATGCTACTCTCACCCCCTCGTTTCTCATTATCTGCGCAAAATGATTGTCATCCAATGACAACAGCTGAACGTGCTCCCGTTAACAATTCCCCTGTCCTTGTGGGGTTGCTAAATGGCCTGAAGGATCAGAAATGGAAATGGGTGACATAGATATAGTCTGGGTCCAGCCCTAATTGGGCCACAAATGAACCAAGTGATTTAGTGGAAACCACTTCCCCTCCCACCCTTATTATCTTTATCTGTACAGGGGAAGTTGACAGTCTTGGCTAGCCTCGACATTTCTGCCAGTCTTCACATTCTAGGCATTCTATAACTCCAGGTAATTAAAATTTGTCATAAACCAGTGTCTTGCAAAGCTGTCATTAAGATGTCACGTTTTCAGATAGAAACATAGAAACCGGGAGGCTAAAGCCAAGAAGATGACTCATTCCTTGCTGTTCCACACTGAGTCACCCCCAATCCAGAGGAAAGAGTCAAACTACAAGGAGCTCTCTAATCACCAGTCCTGGCTTGGAATTCAAGAGCTCATTTTCATTGAGTTTTAGAGTGAACCAAAGCATGAAGTGGTAAACCCATGTAAGAGAAAACCAGAAAGTGGTTTCCTCCTGTATTGGGGGCACTGAGAACACACTTGGTTGGAACTTCCTACCTGACATAGACTGGTGGCAGGGCCTTGGTTGGGAGAGCTCCCAGTGTCTCTTTTCAGAGTCTACAAATGAGCCCCACATCAGAAATGAACAATAGGGTCCCCCTGAAGAGGGCATCAAGTGATGAAATTTCAGTGGCATCATTTAATATCATCAGCTTCAATTTCCCTCAGATCTAGAGCCAGGCTGTGGAGATGAGGATTCCAAATAGGCATTGTTCAGAATCTAAGAGTGAGGAAGCTGGTGATTCCAGAGATTAATACCTGAGTGTGCACCTCAGTCTAGTCAAGCATTGGTTGGTCAGTGATAAGAGGGCCCTGCAAAGAAAGAGGTCAGAAAGTCTGCAGCAGATCAGATAGTGGGAGGAAAACCAATGAAGGGAAGAGTCCCTGGAGGCTGGGGATTTTCCAAAGCTCCAGAATTCAATCCAGCCAGTTCCCATGCAAGATGACCTGACCTGAAAGGCACAGGGTTCCGGGAATTACTCCAGGAGGGTTTGCTGCTCTTCGAGCAGAGCCTGGGCTGAGGTTGCTGACCACGCCCTGCCATGACAGAAGAAATAGGGGTCCCTGCTCATGTGAGTAATCCAAAAGTCAGATCCTCTTATGACACGTGATCCAAAAATTAGTGTTAGATGATAGGCGATGAAGCAGGAAGAAAAGATAGCAAAATGCCATCAGAGTGAACAGATTCTGAGCCGAAAGGAAAGACACAATGGAATAAAGGCGGGAACAGGACGAGAAATACAGGACCATGGTGTGAGGCAGAGGAGAGCCCAGGGATAGGACCCAGTAAGTTGCAGAAAGTCTGCAGAAACTGTGACCACATGCCTGAAGGCTGAGGTTCCATGAGAGAGCAAAACTGCCTCTACCTGTACAAATGGCGTTTACCACCTAGTGACTGGTCAGAGGTTCCATCCCTATACGGTGGGTTGGAGCCAGACTCCATGCCGGGGAGGGCCAGTGGACAGGGAGAGAAGTGCCATGGCCTTCCATCCCACAAAGTAGCACTGTCAAGACAGAAAGGCTCTAAGGAGGAATCAAGATTGCAGATCGAAATGGTGGAGAATTCAGAGAAAGACGGTGCCTGCCCTGGAAGTTTGAGGCAGAGAAAGAGGCAGCAAATGAGGGGACCTCCACCAGGACCAGGTACATACAGGTCTTTCCCAAAACCGGCCCCCACCCAATCTCCACGTCAAAGGAGAAGAAAAATGAAGGAAAAGACAAGATCTGAGGACATGAAGAATGCAAACCATGAAGAAAGCAATCATTGTCTTTTCTCACCTGTAATTCCTGGAGGAATTGCAGACTGAGTTCTTCTCCTAACCCAGCTGACCAGAAGCTGCTGAAAGAGAATTACCCCTCAAGGAGGATAAACAGCACTAGCAAGAGGCGTGATGTCCTGAAGTTACCCTGGAGGAGTCAGGTTGGCTTTTTTCAATGGGATAAACCAAATGGTGTCATTTCTGGGAAGATCCAGAAGACTCTCCCATTTCACTATTCAAAAGCCACCTTCTAGAAATCTGTCTGACCTCTAAGGTGTCAAGCAGTTCAAGCATCTCAGTTCAAGCATCTCCCTCCTCACATACACCTCAGCTGCTGGGAGGAGACACATCGCACCGAATAGCATTTACCTCTGAGGCTGTGGATAGTAGGGAGTCAGAGTTAGAAAGCCCAAAGCTTAGCTCTGGGTTAACCAAACCTGGATTCTAGGGGGAGGACAGAGTCAGAGAGGAAGGACTAATAGACTATTTTTGAATGCAAAACTGGACTCTGTTAGCAGAGAGTCCTTGAAGGAATCATGGAAAATTCCAAGGCTCCCAAATCACATTAGTATTCCTATTCAAAAATCATACTGTTTTTTCTTTTTCATTCAAAATTTATCACTGTAGATATACCTTAGCAAAAAATTCCAACATCATTTTCTTTTACTTACTGGTGTGGTAGCATGAGTGTATAATATCGTGTGTCAGGAGTGCAGCTTTATACTGCAACATCTATGCATAATGCATTGTGATACCAGTAAAACTCTAGCGTCCCCAACATAGAGTTGACCCCCTTCACCCATTTACCTACCCCATCCACTTCTCTGATAGCCACCATCTTGTTGTCTTTTTTTACTGAAATTCTACCAATAAGGAAGATGCAACTTCCACCTCTCTCGCTGACTTACGACTCGAGAAATCCCCAAACAAGCTAGGTGTTGGTGAGTCTTACTCATATATCCTCATTAAGCCCGGGCCATGGCCTTCGTGAAGCTGGCTCCCTCATCATGTCACTATCACTGTTTGTAGGAAATATTGGACAGTATTTAGGCATCATAACCTAAGATGATTTTTTTCTGGAACTGACACAAAACCACCAGTCATGTTGGCGCTGGTCATCTCAGCGAAGCTTGAAAGGGCATCTTTCCAAATTAGCTTCCCTCATCTGTACACTACATCATGCCCCATGCTCCATCCTCCTCCCCAAGAGATCTGTAAATCCAGTATATTTTGAGATTCCAGAAAGGAAAATAAGCCCCTAAAATAAGGCTGCCCGATTTCAAACCCCAGTTTTCTGAGTAACTGTCAACTTCAATTATCCAGTCTCTTCATTTGTAAAGTGGGCATGTTGATTGGAGATATTAACACTTCATGTTACATTTAATGGGGATTTACTTATATGTAATGTGTAGCACAGAACTGGTTCAAACCACAGTATTCAGAAACTGACTAAAACTGGGAGGGAGAAAGAGAAAGGTGAAAGCCCAGATGCTGTTTTACAACCTATCTGTGTGGAATGAAGAGAATAGGTTGGGATTTTGGAATTTCTAAGCTTTTCTACTGGAACTATGAAGAGCAGAAAATAAAGAACCAGACCCCTTTGTCCACCACCATGTTGGTGCCATATTGGTGCGGCACTGTTATGTGGTGACCTCTGTGTAACCATTATTATTTTTTAATTTGGGAACCTGACTTATAAATAAGATAATCCCTGTTTGTTCCTGCTTTGGCTTTCTGTGGCTTTGTTGCTCTGTTGCCAAAAGTGATAATTACTGTATAAGAGGCTAAGACCTCTAAAAAGTGATTCCCATCTTGTAAATTAGCAAATAAGATACACTTTAGAAAGGGTATTTTAGCCATAATCACCCAATTTGGGACAAATACATATAGACACACATATGAGTAATGACCCAGAGAAAAGTTTGTAGTGAGTCAGAGTAGAGTAAAAGTATTCATGGTAGAAGGCTGGATTAGGCGGAGTAAAGGGGAGGACCTTGACCATCAAGCAACTGACAAGAATTTAACAAGCATGTGGCAGCCATTGAAATATGTTGAGCATACTGTGGCATCAGCAAGCATCCTCCAAGGGATTGAAAATCAGTGCTCAAAAGCTGGTGCACCAAAGCTTTTAAACATGCAAGGGAATTCTCATAAAAATATACAACTCCAGGACTCAGTAAGTGTCTCACCTAATGCTGCATCAAAGAAAACGGGACTATTGAGGTGACCCAATTTTCATGTCAATTATTTGAATAGATTCCAGCTTACTAAAAGTTCAGGCATAATAACATGCATATATAGATTCAGCTGAAGTTTCATGTTTGTATTATTAAAAAGCTTCACCCCAGATATCAAGTGCTATTTTATGACTGAGAACTGGCACAAACCTACACATTGGTTATGCTCCCATAACTGATGTTCCACGCATGGGCCAGATGAGAATGGTAAATATTTATAAGGGCTTACATTCTCAGGAGCTAGTCAGGCCAATGGGAGAAACACATATTTTTGGATTCATTAGAAACTTTTAAAGATATAAAAACATGTTTAGTGGTCTGTTCGGCTTCGTAACTAATTTACCTGTTGGATGATAAGTAACACATAGGAATCTTTGTGTTTTCTTTCAGGCTCTTTCTTCCCTGATTCCAAACCTCCAGAAACAGTTTTTAAAATAGCTTTTTGGCTTGGATACCTGAACAGCTGCATCAACCCCATCATCTACCCATGCTCCAGTCAAGAGTTTAAAAAGGCCTTCCAGAATGTCCTGCGAATCCAGTGTCTCCGCAGGAAGCCATCTTCCAAGCACAGCCTGGGCTACACCCTGCACCCGCCCAGCCACGCGCTGGAAGCTCAGCACAGAGACCTGGTGCGCATCCCCGTGGGGTCCGGAGAGACCTTCTATAAGATCTCCAAGACGGAAGGCGTCTGCGAATGGAAATTTTTCTCTTCTATGCCTCGTGGATCTGCCAGGATTACAGTGCCCAAAGACCAGTCAGCCTGCAGCACCGCCCGGGTGAGAAGTAAAAGCTTTTTGCAGATGTGCTGCTGCATGGGGCCCTCGACCCCTCGCCTGGAAGAGACCCATCAAGTCCCAACCATTAAGATCCACACCATCTCCCTCAGTGAAAATGGGGAGGAAGTCTAGAGGACAGGAAAGGTCAGAAGGGCGAGGGCGTGATCCCAGGCACTCACTCTGCTCCCCACACAGGCCAGTTTTCTCTTCCTCGAGGTGAAAGAAACCCATTATCCAGGAGGACCATCTGGGAATGGCGTCCGGCAGGAGAGCCAACTAACAGGCAGGCTCGGGCCCTGGGACAAGGTTGGGTACCACACACTGTCCAATTCCAGTGACGGTGGACAGCGTTTTCTTGAGGCTCATGCTCTCCTGGTCATCCTCTGAGTCCACTTTCCAGGTCTGGGCCTTTCCATGAAAATTACCATGGGAAATAGTATCACACACTATCCAAAGACTATAAATATAGGGTTATGATTTCATCATGAATATTTTGAGCACACACTCTAAGTTTGGAGCTATTTCTTGATGGAGTGAGGGGATTTTATTTTCAGGCTAAACTTACTGACAGCCACATTGGATATTTATGGGGAAAGGGCCTGGAGAGGAAGAGCCTCAAGATGGTGGCCAATATCCAAGCATATTATTTTTAGAGCAAGCTTTCAACTGCACCATTTCTGATCCATCCACTTTCTCAGCTGGGGTAAAACTTGACAGTGAAATTTACTTGTAGCTGCAATTTGACCAGAGATAGTTTCTTGTTCTGTAAGGATAATTGAGGGGCATCCATTATGTTTTCAGTGTAATGGAGACACATTCTCTAAGCCTGGGTCTAGAATGTGTTGACAGAACCCCAGTTGGGAAAAGGAAGGCTTTTCCTAGTGGAAGGCAGTAGAGATGAGGCTCATTTTTTTTTCCACTTAACTACCAGGGAAAAAATTCCATTAAGTGGTTCCAAAATCCGACGGAGAAAGGCTTCTGATTAAATATCAAGAGTTTAGGGTAGAGGAGGTGCTAAGATAGAAAATATTCCACATCTTCTTTGATGTGGCAATAAGACCTTTGCCAGAAATCCATTCTGAAATTCAGAGCTTATGATATTATGAAAGTGGTATCTGCATCTACTTTGTTTTCTCGACTCCTTCACTACTGCAGACAGAGTGATGATTAAGGTACTCAGTGCGCATGTAGTGTGTTGGAGCGGGCCTTACAATCTATCTTCCTGACCTTTGAAAGACGTAAATGCTCACCAAAGAACTATCTAAAGTAGGAATTTGTAAACAGTTCTGACAGAAGTCCATTTGTTCCAGTAACAGATCCATAATCCGTTCACTTCATCTATTTTGATTTGCTGCCAGAACTTAAAAGAACTTGTTAATTTTATCATGTATACCAAATTCGGGGAAAACGTAATAGCTCGGTATATTCCAAAAAGTTAATATGGTAACAATACGTAAAACTTAAAGCGTGTTTCACATTCCAAGTTAAGGACTTTAAGTAGAATTTATGTTTTTAGAATAATTCTTGGTTAGAATTGTTGTTCATAAACGATTGGCCATTTTGTTGAACCCTTTGCCCAACTTCGGATATTCCTGTAAGAATTTTAAGGCAGATTTTAGGTAGCATTATTTAGCTTTTATGGCAAAAATAGTAGCCCCAACACCTTCCCATCTTCCTTTGCAACAAAGTAATTCGCCTAAGTCCTTCTTAAATGCTAGCATCTTTTGTGTATTGCCAGGGAAGGCATGTTTGCACGTGTTTGAGTTTCATTGGTGTATGTTTGGCCCTAGAACATTACTGCTTTCTCAGCCCTTCTGGCAAATATCTACTTTCTGTTGGCCAGTGAGAGATGCTGCCTTGTGTTCATAACTTCTGGCACTTACATACTGGCTGGGACCTTAGACTCCTCAGGTTGCATGACTCATAACAACTCTCCCCAATGTCGCCAAGGGGGTGTCTGCTTGTGGCAATGGTATCGAAAGATTACTCAAACATGCAAGCCTCTCTCCTCTGCTTCCTTGATAGGAAAGATAAATTTTATTCTGTGCATCTGCATTGAACTGAGAATCTTTGACAATCTGAATTTAAAACCCATTCTGCCTGGGCTTCCCCTTGCAAAAGAGCAGGTCCATGAGAAGAAGAAAAAAGTGCTTCTCCAGCAAAATGTGGCTCAATATTAGAGATGATCTTTACACATCTCTACAGGCAGATTTAAAATTTAGATATTTGGATGCTTAGGATCACCAGAAAGTTAGCATCAAAGCCACAGCTAATCAAAATCAACATCCAGTCTTTTGACCTCAGAAAACAACCTTGACAATTCATGTAAAACTATCCATAACTATTATCTTCAATCCAGCTCTCTCCAGCCAGACACTTTAACATGGTTTTCCTTTCCCATAATGTAATTCTACCAAATTAATTTATATAATATCAATTTCTAAGAAATCGATAATATCACCCAAGATTTAAATTGGGATAAATGTGTTTTTCTATCCATCCACAAAAACCTCTGTACCTTTGTGAGTTCAAAAAGCTATCAAAAATTGGCACAATTAAATAAATTATTGTTATATTTATGATCATATTTACTGTTTCTATTTGGAATTTTGAAGAATGTATCCAGAGTAACAGTGGTTAAAAACCTCCTCTAATGTGTTATAAAAAAAAATAAGTTGTTTTGGGATTATTTAAATATCACCAAAGAAATCTCCTTGACATATGGAAAAGGGAAATTTGGGGTTTATTTTGCTATTCAAATTGCAAACATTGAGAGATCTTGACCCTTTTTTCAAAAATGAGCCCTAACGATTGCAGAGATTTCAGAACCGCATTTGACTTGTCCGTTATTTTCCTTCAGCCTCATCCATATTGTTGCTTCTGCCTGTGCTCACTTAGTGTTGTAACACTCTCCAGTGTTAAGACTTCTAGCTCACCACTTAGGCTGGCTCATCAAGGAGAGACAGTAATATTTGGGAAAATGTGTATTTTCATGAGGCCTTTCTCAGGTCTACTTGACTTGCTGTGACTTGAAGGGCACAGCAATTCTACTGCTCCCGTTTTAGACATAAATATCTGCAGCCGAGTGATCCAGGCCCATTCAGCTAATGAGGAACCAAAATTCAAACCTAGGCATTCCTAGCTCTAAAGTCTCATGCTTTCCAGAACACGCGCACTTCAAAATACTGCGGTAAAAATCTTCTAGTTGAAATTGAGAACGCTGAAATTGAGAACGCTGAGGATACAAAGCAATGCCCAAACTTTCTGTTTATTTCCTAGAAATTTGCCTTCCTACTAAGCCCAGTAAATAGTAAATATGCTGTGAAAGCTCCCTCCCAGCCAAATCGAAGAGCGAGTTGTAATTAGAGGAGTTTGGTCACAACTATCTTTCATTATTCAAGCCCTGCAAGAAGGGCAAATTATATCAAATTGGGAGAAGATGGACATATAAAAGAATATAGAGAGGACATTGACACGGAACAGCTAAACACAGTTGCAGATAAGAGACACACTGTGCGGTGTGTTGATGGTAGCGGCGGCTAGCTAATTAACCAACACACCTTCAGGAAGTATAACCCTGTTTAAGATAAATAAAAACAAAACAACACACTGTCACCTATATTCCAATTTTGTTTTGAGTTGGAGAAAGAATCACTGGTCTTTCACCAGGAATTACAAAAGCAAATGTATGATCCTCAAGCCTGTCACCATGGAGAAACAGTCCACAATGCTGATCTCCAAGTAACCAGAGACCTAGGCAATCTGAAAATGAGAATCGACAGGTAGCTGTGGCTGTTTATTAGATGGCACCTGCTTGTTCGTGGATTTCCTCTTGCCTGTGGAAGCTCTATGTCCAAGCATCCAGATATCCTCCTCTCCCCTTCAAATGAACCATCACATGGCCTTCTGGCCCAGTGGGTTTCATGGCTATGATCTGGGAGTGAGAACATTTTAGAAACTCTCTGCTTGGGCAGGTAATTGCTCACACTTTTATCACAGCTCCTTAATCACAGCATGACAGGCATTCTCACTTGCTGCTGGATCTAGTTCTACCCAGTCCGTTTGCCAACAGGGAAGCTGCCTATGCTTGCACATGTTGACTTAAAGAAAAAATCTCAACTCATCAGCAAAGGGAGGAGGGAGCACAAGCTCCTGGAAGGTAAACGCAGCAAGGGAAAACCAGAGAGGCTAAAAAGAAGGCAGAGATGGAAATACAGAAGCCTCAGAAGTTACTCTGATGCCCATTGGTTACACTGATTTCTTTTTACACTACTAGGACTTTTGACCATGAAAACTCCTGCACACAGCTCCACTCATGCCAAGCTGGCAACTGGGAGGATGCCTTGTCTGCAGACTGCTGTGAACAGAGCTGAGCCAGGCTGCTGTGGCTTCTACCATCTTCCAAAAGCAATGGAAGCAGTTGCCTCCCAGCCTCCAAAATTCCTGCAAGATGAGTGAGTGGAGATGACATCAAAGGGCTGGACTGGCAAAAAGCAAGTTGGGGTTCAGCAGAGGACCCCGATTCCTTGCTCGCAGTGCCACGAGCGTCAGGTCATTCTGGCTCCCTCATGCCCAAAGGTCACGGGGGCTAAGGACAGATCTTAGCCGTGCTGTGCAGGACAATGTTCCTTCTTTGCTCCTACATGGATTACTGAGTCCTCACCAAAAGAAAGGGTATAGCCAGAGGGGTGGTGTTGAGAAAGAGGAAGATTTACCGACGCCTTTGTTCACAAGATGGATGGTTTAGTAATAGTTTTCTGCAACTGGTAAACAAGGAACTGTGCAAAAGCTGATTGTTTGTTCATGTCCAAAGACAAAATAATTGTCTTTCCTTTTCATGTGACTCTCAGAAGTCATTGCGTTCGTTCCCTTCCACATCACAGTTGACATAGCCACATTATAAACTGGAAATGATTATTACTGAAATATGGGAAATCCAGACTTAAGAAAAAAATCTTAGAGCAAACTTATGCTGCCTTTGGAGAAAAAAATAATAAAGGTGCTGACCTACTCCTTAAAAGTCTGAATACAATAGGTGCATTCAAATACAATGGGAGCTAAAGCAGAAACCCCGGCCTGAGTTTAGTACTCCTTCCATTAATATGATATGAAATGTCATATGTTATTTGGCCAATTTCAAATCA